ACCTCTGCTTAACTGATATACATTTCAAGATAAAATTTCACTTTGAAAAAGGTCTTGCTTTTTGATAATATCCATTATTTGCAGATTAAATAAAATCATACAATACATTTTATTTACAGTTTGCATACTTTGAATGAATGTGATATTACTCGCTAAAAAGGAAGGTGTTATTGTTTGTTACAAGCACAATAGCGAATATTACATTTATGGATAAGCATTCCTGTGCATTTTTAACGTTAATTCAAATAATTTGTTTTTATATAGTCAATCATAAAACAAAACGATTATTTGTCTTGACTTTATTATTTTAAATGCAAATAACATCATTTAAAAGAATGTATATTGAATGTTTTTTTGTTGTTTTTGTTGTTGTTGTTGTTTGTTTTTTTTATCCTTTTTTTCTGGTTATTTAGAATACTATGTCAGAATGGTATCTTATATCTTAAGCTGCAGTCTCAGAGCCCCGGAAGACGTCCGGGGTGATCCGGGAACAAGCGGAGTACATCCGTAACTCTGCAGGGAACGGCCGGGATAATCCGGGAACATCCGGCATTCGACCCCGGATGGAATTAAAAATTTAATATCATCGGGTGGTCCGGAGTGATCCGGGTCGTATAGTTTTGCTGGCATTCCGGCAGAGCCCCGTTGAATGACGGCAGAGCCCCGGAAGATGACGATGGAGCTATGGTTGATCCTGGAAGAGCCCCGGCAAAGCCCGGTTCAATTCAAAAGAATCACGACAATTTGCGATGATTGCACTTGTTTGTATTAAAACTCTTCCCCGTTTCCCTTCTGTCCAGTCTTGCATAAGGATTATTCAGAAAATCATCAGGAATAGCTGTTCTGGAACAATAGATATTATATCAAATGAAAAGTATATATGAACGTAATCATTTTCGTGCGTTTTCAATCCACCGGGGCTCTGCCGGGATCGTCCTGGGCTCTGCCTGGATCGACCAAGGCTCTGCCGGCGTCATCCGGGAACGACCGGGGTTTTAACACCGGCATGAACTGTAGCTTCACCTGGGCTCTGCTGGATGGTCCGGAGCGCATCCTGGGTGGCTAGTTGGAAATTACCGTAGTGCTAATGGGGTAAGTGTGACCACTACAATAATTTCACCCAAAATCTTCACGGATCATCCCAGTAACTTACCGGGGTGGTCCTGGGCTCTGCGGGGAATGAGACCGCAGCTTTTCATGTTGATTGTTTTTAGATAAAGTTTAAAGATATATTTGCGGGTATAGCAAAAACCCAATTGTGATTTTAGTAGAATATATATGCTCTTTACCCCAGTGACGTAATATTAACGAAATTTGCGGTCTATATGAATGTGTGAAAGCTCGCCTCCCGCGAAAACGCGAACTAATGTTTCAGTGAAAATTTCTAGATATACAGTACTTTTAATAAGTAATAAAGAAGTTGATAAGAAATACTGAAGTTATAATAAACAAGGGTGCCATTGGCCCAAAAGCGCTTACCTGAAGACATCCTGTAATTTGTGTAAGAGCCAATTTAAACGATAGGAGCAAACTTTGAACAACTATAGACAAAGGACCTATATATGATACTATATGATGACCTATATATATATACCAGGGTCTTTCAAATAGATTTTATTTGAAAGACCATGTATATACCAAAAATCTAAGCTCTAAGCATTGCACCTTCAGACAAGACGTTTTTACAATATACATAGAAGGAAAATCTATGACCCCGGAACAGGACCAAATTTGACCCCAGAGCTATAATGATCTTGGAAGAGTTCCACTAAACAATGCTTCATGCTAAATATCCAACCTCTAGCCTTTATCAATTCAGAGAAGAAGATATGAATAAGTTTTTTTCTATATCCATATAAGGAAAACCTATGACCCCACATGGGACAGGGCCAATTTTGACCCCAGAGCTATAATTTGAACAAATAAGGTAAAAGTCCACTACACAATGTTTCATGCCAAATTTCTAACCTCTAGCCTTTGTCAATTCAGGGAAGGAGATTTTTTTAAAGTTTTTACTATATATACATATAAGGAAAACCTATACCCCAGGGCGGGGCCAATTTTGACCTAAGGGCTATAATTTGAACAATCTTGTTAGAGTTCCACTACACAATGCTTCATGCCAAATATCTAACCTCTAGCCTTTGTCAATTCAGGGAAGAAGACCCCAGGACTATTACTTGAACAACTTTGGTAGAGTTTGCAATTGATAGTTTTTAAGATAATAAGAGGAAACCATTCTGACATTTAAGGTTAGGGTGACCTTGACCTTTGAACTTGTGACCTCAAAATCAGTTGGAGTCATTTAGTAGTTATGACCATTATGTGAAATATGAAGACTTTGTGATAAATAGCTTTCAAGATAATCAGCGGAAACCAGACTTTGTGATAAATAGCTTTCAAGATAATCAGCGGAAACCATTCTGACATTTAAGGCCCATGTGACCTTGACCTTTGACCCTAAAATCGATAGGGGCATCTACTAGTAATGACCAGTAAGTATGTGAAATATGAAGACTTTGTGATAAAAAGTTTTGAAGATAATCACCGTAATCCAAGTGGTCTACAGAAGGACAGACCGACCAAGCGACATTAGCAAAACAATATACACCCTCTTCTTCTTAGGGAGGCATAATTATGTTTAAAAATATTTTACTGCACAAAAACTTAAATCTGAAATCTGGACACAGATAAGAACAGCTAACCGTATACTTTTTTAGTTAAGCTAAAAAGCAGACACTAAACTGTTTGATATTTGACCTTCGAGTTCAAGGACGACTTGACCTGAATCTGCACAGCAGCAGCAGCAGCAGCAGCAGCAAGGCTTTTGCACACGGCCTGGTTGCAGGTGAATATCTGACATATGAACATCAACAGTGACCTTGATCTGATACAGCATTGGCATGGGTTCTTCACATTGACGGGGTGAAAATTTGAGCCAAGTTAGATAAAAATCCTTCAGAGTATATAAAGCAGACGCAATGGAGATGGACCGATCAACTGAATTGATCTGACAATGTGAAGCCAGTATTTAAAGCCCCATCCATATTATGTGTGTGTTGTTGGGGGGGGGGGGGGGGGGGGAGGGGTTATTAATGAGGATAAATTATTATTTAAATTGACAAATCATTATTTATAGTGGATAAATCAGTTTCTTTAAGTGGATTAATCATATAACAAGAGCTACTGCTGGGCGGGGGCAACGCTCGACTTTTTACTGTTTCTAAAAGCAAACAAAGAAATGTTTGAACAAATCTTAACGTTTCCTTTTTATAAATTTAATCGGTCTGTCTTGTCACATTAGTTTTGTCAAAGTATGAATCCTTTCCATATATATCTGCATGTTTTATATTACAGAAGAAAAAAAAAGAGAATATATATATACAGCAGGGATCTCAGGAAGGTCAGAATTTCACGTGGCAGACTGTTTGGCCAAAAATTTTCATGAGTCAAATCAGTTTTTTCTTGTGTTATTTTTCTACACGAATCATTTTCATGTTTTCAGAAATTACTGTTTGGGAAGTCATTTAGAGTAGATTTTCAAGTTTAAATTGATAACTATTGTAAGGTTAGGCAATTATAAGCTTCTTGCTTAGTTAACATGATGATAAAGATAATTAAGTATTTCTAGCACATGGATAATTACCATAATTATTGTTCCATTTTCAATTACATTTATTGAGGTGATAAACACATGTGTACATGTAGGGGTAAAAGTTACAGAAACTGAAAATACTGAAAGAAAAAGTTGGGGGCCAGGGGGCTGGCTAGGGGTTCAGGGGGCTGGAGGCACTCAGAAGCTTTCGCAATTTAGTGAATTTAAAAGTTCAAAAAAAAGGCTCAAATACATACTCAAGTGCTTTATTTATCTTCAGATGTAATTAATCTGATATGTTAAAATTTACACAAATTCACTGAGCAATACTATTTAAGCAATATATACACATTCCACATAACAAATTATGTTCATTCTCATGACACAGTCTCCTTTCTGATGATGTTACGAAATTGAAGGAAGAATCCATTATTTAATGGGGAAATCAACTACACTGTATCTCTGAAATTGGGCTATTCTGATTGACTTTGTTTTGAATTAACATTCACATTCAACAACATGTTCATCTTTCTAATGCTTTAACAGAAAAATCCTCAAAACAATGTCTGTTGAGACAAAAAATACAAGATACTCTTTCAATTTATCCCTACAAAGACAGTTTATACAATCTTGCAATAAAAAAAACATTTAACCTTCAAAACAGAGACAATTTTCAACTGTAGACCATAATTTGATTATACTTTGTAGAAACCAACAAGCTCATGCCTTGTGAGAAATATCTAAGCTCTAGCCATTTCCATTTTGAAGTATAAGAACTTTTAAGTTTTTTCTTTTAGTTGCCATAGCAACCAGAGTTTAGCATGGAATGGCATTCTTTGAACAATCTTGATAGAGCTTCATACGAAGAGTATTCCTGCCAAGTTTCATTAATATTGGCCAAGTGGTATTTTAGAAGATGTCCTTTAAATAAAATGTGGACGGACGCCGGACACCGGACGCCATTTGATTGGCCATCCTAAAAGCTCACCTGCACTAGTGCAAGGTGAGCTAAAAAGAGATAAATATCAGACAGACAGCACCAGAAATATTGCTGTAAACTAGAAATGTGTCGATAGAACATGGGTGCCTCCACACTCCAATTTTGTCAATCTTATGACTCTTGGTCAAATATTTTTTGGGCTACACATGACACAAGTTGAAAACTAAAAATCTTTTACTAAGTCAAGGGCAAGAACTAATATTGATTAAATCCACAAGAAAACCCCAAGGTGCATAAGTACACATGCTGACCAACATTCTTGTAAACTTTCAGGCCTACAGGTCAAATATTTTTGAGCTATGCATGAAAAAAAATTTAGAATTTCCTCATTTTTATTGTTTATATTGAAATAAATAATTAATTATTCTTGACAGTCAACTTTTTTTTTCATTGAAAAAAAACCCCTGTAATTTAACAATGTTCTTTATTGATCAACAAAATAAATAAACAATAGTAGCAAAGTATGACAGCTTATTTTCTCAATATATTAATAAAAGCGTCTCTAGGAACTTCTATACGACCTATCAACCTCATTTTCTTTTTTCCTTCAGCTTGTTGTTTTAAAAGCTTTGTCTTCCTAGATATGTCACCACCATACTGTAATAAATTAAATAAAAATTCTACATATTTTATTAGGCCCCAAAAAATGACACAACATTTTTGAACTGTTTTCACTAAGTAAAGGGCAATTACTCTATAAATTCACAATAAATATACAAGTAAAACTACACATGCTGATCAACAAGATTTTGACTCTAGGCAGGGTCTTTCAAATAGAATGGTCTGGAAACATGCTATGTAAATCCTTCTCTAGCTACAATAAAACATGTATTGGTATAGTTTGCTATATGCAAAGTATGTAAATGTTCAAGAAAAGGGCTAAAATTAAATACAGGAGCAAAAATGAAAATTCTAACAGCATGATGTTCTTTAAAAATCTTTAAACTTGTGAAATAAGATAGATATATATTTCAATAATTTGACCTTGTAGGTCAAGGTCAAAGTCAGTCTAGTCAACTTGAAGGAACATTCCAAAGGATGAAGACAATTCATTCATAAACAATAAAGCTATAGCCACTTTGGAACAATTTTGGGATATTTTCTAAGTAAAAAGGGGCATAATAATGGTAAACTAACTATAAGAGTTATGAAACTTGATATAGATAGTTGCACTGTGATATTGCATTGATATGTCAAGTTTCAAGTTAATAATCTCTACCAGTTACTGAGATGAGATTGGACAAAGTGATAACTATATAGCCTCCTCCCTCACAAACTATAATAAAATGACATTCATAATCTCCATATGGTCTTCTATCACCAGGTATCATCAACCTAACTTTTATACATTTTTTTTAGTTGTGACTGGATCAAGAACTTTTGGACAGACAGGCAAAGGGAAAACCTTTAGTCACATCTAGAAAAACTTATAGGGACTAAAAACTGAAGGAGACAAATATATACATGTACAAACATACAACTGCCTGGATCTAACAGTGGTAAAGACCTACAAATACTACTACTAGTATAATGGGCACTTTAGTGGTAAAAGAAGATAAACTTACACATTTAGCTGTAACATCTTTCCTGTACGGCTTTATATCCTCACGACAAAGAATTTTACTACCTACTGCAGCCTGTATCACTATAAGGAAATTCTGGCGGGGAATATTTTTCTGAAGTTTTTCACAGACTCTCACAGCTATGTCTCTAGCACGTGATACATGAACTAGCATTGTCAGTTCATCAACTTCCTTTCCATTCAATAAGTAATTTACCTGTTCAAAGAAAAGTAAAATTCAACAATTTCTTATTACTACTGAATTTATAAGTTTTCTTTCAGATTCTTTCATTTGAAATAAATAAATGATTCATGAAATTTAAGTAAGTAGTATATACTAATAAAGAGGCTTGTCTTGTTTTTATACTGATTTTAAGATATTTTGGGTAATATCTTGGTAAATTACAGGATAACTTACCAGTAATTACCTATTTCTCTGACAATAACTGACAACTTATCCAACATGATAGGTGAGAGAATTATGACACATTAGTTTGAATGTCTATGATCAAGTGTGACTAATTTTGCTTTGCCCCGAGGATCAAACTTGTGACTACACTGGATTACAAACACAATACTTACCCTATTAAGTCAAGCGTGCAGACAAATAAAGTTGCCTGATCTGATCAAGTTAAAAAGACTTAAGCTTAAAAATATTGTACATTTGGTTTTAACAATAAAAAACCATTATTAAACAGGAAAAAAAAATGGTAACAGAAAATGTTAATTCCTGTAAGATTATTGTGAAATCCAGGAACAAGTATTGTTTTAAGATTCAAGGTACATGTATAAGCAACAATGACTTTCCATCAGTCTGACATAGAAACATTTGATCAACAGTCCTAATGAAGATGATCATAATATCATTTTTATTAGTGATTTTAAACATGTATCTTTCAATATCTAGAAATCATGAAAGCAAAGAAAAAAAAAAGCATTTTAAGCTAATGTGTAATTAAAGTAAGTTGTAGGCATTTGTCATCTTTAAAAATATTGACCTATTGATGTAAAGCATTTTTGTATTTTACTAAAGAACTTACCTTTACTAAATCAGATGTCTCATAGTCAGCATCTTCATAATCAAAACTGAAAAATATATCACTTAACTTTTACAAGAAATGTTTGTAAAACATGTATGCCCCCTATCAGCAGCCAATTAGTCATGTGGCCACGTTATTGTGACTTATTTTTGACCTTGTGACCAAAAAATCAATAAGGGTTATCTTTTGGACCCCAGGGCTTTTATTTGAACAAATTTGATAGACACTCACTAGGAGATGTTTCATGCTGTATATCTAAGCTCTAGCTCTTTGGATTATTTAAAAGAAGGTATTTAAAGTTTTTTCTATTGGTTGACATGGCAACCAGAGTTCTGCATTGAATTAAATTCTTTTAACAATTTTTTAAAGGTGACCACCAAAGGAACATTCCTGTGAAGTTTGGATGAAATTGGCTTAGTGGTTTATGAGAAGATGTTATTTAAAGTAAAAGTTTACGTATGAACGCCGGATAAAAAACCGATCACGAAAGCTCAGCCTGTCACTTTGTGACAGGTAAGCTAAAAATGACCTACTAGTTATAACCAATCAATATGTGAA